GCCCGGCCCTAGACACGACTGGCCCTATTCGCAACCCTTCACCATTCCCAGACACTCTACAACCCTTGAAACAAAACAGTTTTGAAGTTCTTTAAACCCATAATCCTGAAAAGGTTTAAGAACGTGTCGAACACTGTACCGACGATCTCCCCAAATATAACTCTGGTGTCTGAAGCGGGGGTTGGGGAGGGGATGGGGTGGGTGGAATATCTAGGTTGGTGCAGTAAAGTAACACATTAAACCCCATTTCACTACAAGGATGTTTTCAGCACCTGTGATTACAATAATTCTACCGATATTTTAATCTAACAAATGTAGAAATTAAATATACATTATGCAAGAGCTAAATCTGCAGGCCTGAAATGTTATCTAAATTATTAATTAGACATTAACTTATTCAGACCATAATCAATTCTCGGTGTCAACGCTAGCCTGTGATATTTTCTGGAAGTATAAATGCTCATATAAGTTGCTCAGCATCACTACTGGGATCATGGATGGACATTGCCAGACAGTGCTCTTTTTAGTGTCTTAACCTGAGCTTCTCGATATAGCACTACTAGTGTTTACACCAGTGTCTAAACTAGTTTAATACCAGTGTTAATACTGGTGGAAAATAAATTAAAAAAACTGTAACACTAAAGTGTTATTTTTAAATGTTACACTTTTTTTTGTGTTCTGTTCTAATGCATTCAATTCTTTGCATGAGCTGACCAACTAAAATAAAAACACCAAAAGAAAGGTAATTGGGGAAAACTAACCGCTTCCAGAAATTTAAGTAACTGGGATCTATGTTGAATTTTAGTAGTCTCATTTGATCATTATTCAGTCGAAATTTCCTAAAATTTCTCGTAAATTAGCAGGTCTGTGATCAACATTAATTCTTTGTCTTACGTTTTGGTCATGATATGGATAAAAAATCGTTTGAAGCCTTAAAACAAAATCTAAAACACGTAAAAAAAAATTCCCTTCTTGCCGTCTGCTCTTTTACACCAGTGTTGTAATAAATGACTTGAACTGATATTTTTTTAACCCCTAGGGGTTAGTGTTAGAGTTATTTTTAACAAGATAATATCTTTTATCAAGGTCTGTGATGTTGAGATTGTGTTAAACACGGATATATTTACACAACATGAACACCAGTGTCGTATCTGTGTTACCCAAACACTAACTTATACCTGAGCCCCTCAGTTTGTCCATATTTTCAATATCAATTTCCCGATTTAAGAAACAAATTTACATGAAAAAAATATATAGACAAGGAGCTTTGTGCAATGTTATTTCTAATTCCCTTGAATTCAAGTCCCGTATTCGTATGGATTTTCCGTGTGACGTTATCGTTATCAATGAGTGTATATTTCTCATACGTGATACGGCACACGGATACGGCAGCGCGTATCGAACAGCTTTCATACGGAAAGGTCCGTATAAAATCGTTGTCTTTTTATAGTCTTTTTTGCTATTTTTAGACGTGAAATGTTGTGTCATAGCGTTTTTATGAATCTATGTGTATCCTAGAACACGAAGGTGTATATTTGATGTGATTTTAACCATGGCAAAGACTGAAATTTATTCATTATTTTTAATTAGTATTTTCCTGTTTGTCTGTCTGCATGCTGATTTAGGGAGGTGGGACCATGCAAATCTGTAAATGATGTGATTCTACAGTAAAGGGTAGTGTAACCAAAAATTGCTGTCGAGTCTAGGCAATTGTAGGTTAGGCACTTGACTCTCACTGATGGTGATTTTGGTAGATAACCGCAATCATGTTGTAATAGAACTAAGCTCAGCTCAGCTACTCATACGTACGCTGAACGAAAGTATGCCAAAATTCTTAAAAATACATTGACGCAACGGATCACGTATACGATTAGATACGGATACGCAATACGGATGTGAAAAATTCCGCTTGCCAAAAGTCTCTAATATTTTTTTTATTTATACCGCAAACCACTCCGCACAGATCTATACATTTTTATTTTTATCTTTGGAAATTATGCGCTCCCTAAGAAATTGCACTCGAGGCAGGCGGTCCGGGGTCCCCGCTCAGGCTTCGCATTTGCCTTTCAAGATGAAGGTGCTTACGGATAGTCTATGTCAATTACAAACTGCGTTTCGACAGCTCGCTAGAAAACAATTTTGGCAATCGTGGATTTTAAAATGACTGCCAATGACTCCCTTTAATGCGTTTCTAGACAATATTCCCTTAGAGTTGTTATTTTAAGTCAAGATACATAATTATGAAGCAGGACTAATACACCAACTTTAATGATTTTTTTGCTACAAGTTGGATAATTATATGAATTGGCGGTGGAAATAAGACAAGTGGTCAAAATATATAAATATGTATTAACAGCATCGATATTCCAATATAACAAATTAACTGCTGAATACAATTAAATAGAACTTAAAAGTAACAACTGCAAATCAAAGATCAAATGACAAGGGGATAATGGCGACAACTGACTATGAGAAAATGTCATATTCTCGAATTTGTGTGTCCCAACTTCAAATCCATAATTGCTAAGCAAATAAAACATCTGGCGTTATAACAATGGACATTACTGACATACACATAAAATATTGAATTATGTTAGATGAGCTTTATATCAAATGAAATGGGGTTTAACGTCCTACTGTTTTGCTCCGACTGGACTGATGAAGACGGGCATACGCCATGCAGTGTGCTATGAGGGGTAGTTTGCCCAGGCAGCGGCACTGCTTATTACAAGTCTTTCTTTAGGCCTGAAATGTTATCTAAATTATCAATTAGACATTAATTAACTTATCCAGACCATAATTAACTCTTGATGTCAAGGCTAGCCTTCGATGTTGGCTGGATTAGATTCCTATATGCCGCTAACGGCCGTTGATAATTAAATCAAAAAAAGTGGATAATCGAGACTTGCTGTTTATATTAATGATTTTAGTAATGATGACCGAGACTATGCCAAAATTTCACACGCTTCTTTCTCGGCTCATAGTGGATCAATTTGACTGAAATTTTCAGCAAATTACCTTTACACTATCTAGTTTTTAACTATTATAGCGAGAACTGCCATCTCGTCATCTTATCTCCCATAATGTATCTTTAAGTTCTCGCCAATGTGTACATGGGACCTCGGTTTTTCGTTCTATCCTAACGACTGTACGCTGTCCCTTGCTAGACCACTTTGTCCTGCATCACTGACAAGGGGGAGGGAGATGGGGGTGGTGGGCACGCCGGAAAATCCCGATGAACTTTCTCGACCAATGCAGGATCGAACACACGACCCCCAGGTTAGCGAACCAACGTCCTACCACTAGATGAGCATACGTTAATTCTTTGGATAGAATAAATATGCCATAGAATAGCGAAATTATAATTCAGATTAATAAAAACAATAGTTCATTGTAATGGTTCATTGTTAAGCTGAAACTAAATCTTGAATGTGTTAAGGCACCATATATTGTTGCGTGAAACATGTTGGCAAATAAAATTCATGCAGATTAAAGATGCTTCCCACGTACAAACTGTGTGATTTGATGATATATTTGGACTAAAAACATATTCAAACTTATTTATCTATCAAAAGCTTGCTTCAAATCTTTCTCAAAACATTTTAATCGCAAGAATAGGCTACTACTTCATCAGTTGAGGATCTATTTTAATCAGCTTTGTTTGTCACGTGACTTGATAAGGGGAGACCCCATATATGGCTCGTATTTGTTGTTACTCGTTTTCCAGTTATAATAAATATCGAAGCCTAATCAAAGTTTTGGATTATCCACCACTAACCTCACATTCACCTTTATATAGACATGGGAGGATTTTTTTTTAAAAAAACAAAACAATTGTAACCATCATAGCAATTACATTATAAGAATATAAAATTATATTTTATCTGATATCCGCCAAAAAGAAAGGCTTCTAATTAATTTGTGAAGATAGGTCGGTGATAGATAAAAACGAATGCACTATAAATAAACAAATATAGTTAATGAGATTGATATTCTCAATAAAGATTAATTTATATTTCTTAATAGATCAACCCGACAGCAATTGTAAACAATTAAAATTCTCGAACAGAACGGTAAATGTTTTTTTTATGTACATCACACAGAACAAAAGTATCTAATAGCTTAAGTTAATAACTTATATTTCATAAACTACCAGTTACTGTTAGTCTATTTCTTATTCATGTTCCGCCATTTGTTACGAAGATCTTCTGCCGTCCGTCTATTTGAAAACTTGTAGTTTTTAAGGATTCCTTTCCAGTTATATCCCAACACCTTAATTCCTCGTTTCAATCTTCTTTCTTCACACATGGAGAAAGGTATTTTGTGTCTTCTTCTCATACCAGCTCTGTCACTTTTTCCCATTTTCTATAAGTGTATCAGACACCCCTATAGTCATATTTTGTTATAGATTGAAGACGATTGATGTTTCGGCCCAAAAAGGACATTCTAGGGCAAAAGTGTTACATGTTCAGTCAATATTCATTGTATGGGGTTGCCATACAAGATCTTCGGGATATAAACATATATTTTAAGTTTCATCAAAATCGGATAAAATTTGTGACCTCTAGAAGGTCCACAACCTTGATACTTTTGCAATATTTGCATACAAGGAGCTGCCATTTTGTCGGACAGATTCGGTCCATTTTGTCGGACAGATTCGGTCCAATTTGTAGGAAATTTATGGTATGACGTTGATATATTTAAACGGTTTTTAAAATCGGAATAATTTGTGACCTCTAGAGGGTCCACAAATTAAAAAGTTGATGTTTCGTACAATCAGGGGTCATAATCCAGGAAATTACTGTCTGATATGCGCGAATAGCGAAAGGAACCGAGATCTTTGTGACATAAACATATATTTTATGTTTCATCAAAATCAGGTAAAAATTGTGACATCTAGAAGGTCCACAACCTTGGTATTACATACTTTTACACTATTTGCGTACAAGGAGTGGCCATTTTGTTCGGCAGTTTCAGTCCGATTTTCATGAAATTCGAACTCAATCACCATTCTGGTGGAACGGTGATATATTTGAACGTTTTTTTTTTAAATCGGATAAAAATTGTGACCTCAAGAGGGACCACAAGCTAAAAACGCGATATTTCGTAAAATTAGGGGCCACAAGTTGCGGTCCGATATGCATGAATATCGAAAGGAAAAGAACTCTTTGGGTTATATACATTTTAAGTTTCATTTAAATCGGATGAAAATTGTGAACTCTAGAGTGTCCACAAGCTAAAAATGTGGATTTTCGTACAATCAGAGGCCATAATCCATAAAGTTTCGATCTGATACATGTCAATATCGAAAGGAACCGAGATCTTTTGGAGATAAACCTATACTTCAAGTTTCGTCAAAATCGGATAAGAATTGTGACCTGTAGTTTCCACAAACAAATTGTGACTGACAGAGGAGACGACAATAATATACGCCCACATGAAAAAGTGGGCGTATAAAAATGTTACAGTCTTCATAATCATTACCTATCGATTACTGAAATGCGCTTTTGTATATATAGTTGGTTTCAGATATTAATATTCACATATGGCTATTTAAGTTTTAAATGCGGGGAGGTATTTTGCTATTGGGCATCAATTCTACAAATTAAGATCCTTACACAAAATCAATTTGTTTTACCCGCTTTGCTATTGACATATGTCGTCTTCATGATCCCGGTTGGTGCAGAAAAGTAGGTCGTAAAACACATTTATTTCATTTCGATACTTACATTATGTAAGAAGTAATCAGAACATATGTCGTTAGGTTTGATCCATGACCACTTGACTACCTTGCCGCATACTTTACATTATTATTAGGTTCTATATTATGGACATCTAAAAATATCTGGATATCAAAATACTTGGCTTATATTTAAAAAAAACCAAAAAAAAAAACCAATAGCCCAAACTTACTATCAAACTCTTGTATTTGTCTCTGAGATCTACAGAGGTTCTGGAAGGGTGGAATTTGTAGGTAAGAAGAATTTGGTTCCATTTACTTCCTAATGTTTCAATGCCCTCTATAAGATTATCTATTTCTTGGTCTGTGTATTCAACACGGTTCCTTCTTTCCTGGTTCCTTTTCATCCTTAATCGCCATGCTAATATTTCGTCACTACTAGACTCGTTAACTTCTGGTGGGGATACCTTTTGGATATATTTATTTTTGAAATATTTCATATTATACATATAAATGCACCAGGCAATATACGAAAAACAAAATCCAAACGACATTCATTCTGAACTTTTGTGAAAATATCATTAAAACTATATATAAAATATATAAAAATGCAAAAAATAGAATTGTAGAAAATGTATCGGCTACCAAAATAAACAAACCTTTCTGTCGCAAGGACTTTGAAACTCATATACATTACTTGAGTTCTTTTCATTTTTACTCTGTCTTTTTGATTTTCTTATTACACGTATACTTCCTGCTGTATGTGACTTTGTGTTTTTAATGAACTCTCTCTCTAATTTCCTTATATGTCGATGGAAAGAACAAGTCAGTGTACTGGATTCAAGAACAATGTTGTAAGTTCGGCTGTTGATAAGTGTTGCAAGATCTGGTACACAACATCCTGTTATTGGAATGGTAAGTTCAGAATTATATAGAAAATGGAAAACATGATCTGTCTTCTATAATTGTAATGATGTACACGACAACTTCAAACTTATAGAAAAGGAATAAAAGAATTTGCAATCTGATACTGTAATGATACACAAGATGACTGCATCAACGGGTAATTAAGAAATAAAAGATTTCCGTTTGTATATTAATAACAAACAGGTCAGAACGGAATAAATATTAAAGATTCAAAATGAGGAGTATTAATCTGAATTAATCGAACCGCAAGGACATACGCCAATCAATAAGTTTCTGACAGGGCTATCGACGGACTATTAATGCGCATTTCCAACTTATTATGAACTGAGGTGGTCAAATCCATTTGAATAATTCATATGACAAATACATACAATATTTATTACCTGGACAGCCAGATTTTTTCTTTTTATTGTGGTTTCTATCAGTGATAACTTCGTCACCCGATTCTTGGTTAGACAATATTTGTAAAAAGAAAAAAAAAGATTTCCCATACATTAAAATTAGTAAAATGTTATATTGCTACACAATGATTGAGTAAGACTGCAAACAAAAGACTATTTATTAATAAAGAATAATTATAGGATTAATGATAACCTGACCTCTAATCTATATATAATGGATAATGCTAGTCAACTCGTGACAATCTACTAATTTGATAGGTATTTTGTCTTTTTTCTAAGGACCGGACTTATGGACCACTAATCAGATCTTATGGAGAATTTTCCATAATGATTGACATTCTGCACGCATCACTCGAGCGTCATCTAAAACCATTTAAAGCTATATTAAAAGAGATTATATTTTCGTTAGCAACGGCTAGCATTAGCAACTGGCATCAGTTAGCAACAAATGAATCGGGAGTCTGTTTCTGATACTACTTCGTCCTGGTAGATTTGTTGCAAACAATTCCAAAAAATAGCTCCTTGCTGCAGTAAAAAAATAGCTAATGTCCTGCACGAGGCTTAGAACACTTACACTTTTTGAAATTCGTTTGTTGTACTACTCTTATGTATTTATGTTATCGGTTCATATTTTTACCTGAGACTGATTCGTCAGCATTTAAATCATTCTGATAGCTATCGGATTCTGTTAGGAATGAGCCGTTTGTGGTAGAAGATGCAGGTGTAGTTATTGGAGAAAGCACTTTTCTCTTGGGAGCATACGTTTCACTGATATTATTTACTTTCACGTCCTCGTTAATAACAGATCTGTTTGACAGAAAGGTATCTGGTTTTGCTGTTTGTAGTAGCTTGAAATCAAACTCAGACAGGGCAGGGGACGGGCATGAATAATCTTGACGAACAGGCTGTTGGTGTGATTCTCTTGGTGGTAGTATCTTTCTTTCCATTCTCTTGATTGTCTGTTGTATATTTTTTCCAGCGACTTGCGCAGAACCCATACACGGGGTATGTCTGATACGCCTTCTCAGGGGAGGATTCTTTGGTTTTGCAAACTGCTCGATAACCCCGCTTTCCTCGGTGCTGGACTCAATAACTTGAAACAAGTCTTGGTCATGAAGCTTTGATCTAATAATGGTACTTGGATTTTGTACGAAGTGTAACGAATTCGACTCATTATTCGAGGTTGTGATTTTATTTGGTATATTTAGTGTCCTATTAGACGCCTGTTTGTTTACAAATCTTAGGTCATCGTTAAGCTTTTTCGTTCCATTCTGCTGTGGGGTCTTTTGGTGGTAGTTCAATATCGACCTTTCTACAGTATTGATTTGAACTTGTTCATCAGTGACATCTAAATGAACATTTGTGAATGCATCTTTTGTCGATAATATCTTTGTTTCTAATATTTGATGCTTACCGTTTTGTGGTTCTTTTGGACGAGATTTATTAAGTAGATCAACTGGATCTTCCGTATGTTTTATGTCTGAATCTAAATCAATTGCATTACCGGTCATAATGGCTTTATCGGCTGTTGATCTTACCGGAGAAGTAGATTTTGGTTTGATGTAAACATCGCTAGAGGCAAGCAGTGGGTCAGTACAAATACGATCCCCAATGGATTTATTCTGTTTAGATGGACTAAATATTGGCGACTGCTCTGGATGTCTACAGAGTTCCGAATGAATGCATAAATTTTGATCTTTACAATGATTCGGCGTGGAATGGTGGCATCTGTGATTCAAATCGCAGGACTTGTAAACCGGGTTTCTCGCTACGTCGAACTGTTCATTATTGTTATTGAAATTTGGTTTTACTAAATGTTCGTGACAATAATTTGCCAAAACTGTGGAATTATTTCGGTAACTGAAAGATGTGCAGTCGGCCGTATTTGCAAGAAGTGTTGAATCATTAACAAATTGTTTGTGAGTGTTATCAGAGTTGTTCAAAATTTCCTGGCTGGAATTGTTGTTGCAATTTGTGTTCTGGGCCGAATTTGAAAGTTCAAAACTAGAACGTAAAAAATTAGTAAATTTGGTAATTATGTGCGTATTTTCTTCGATGGTGTCTGGGCAGATAGTCCTTGTTACCAAATTAATTTCAGGTGACTTCAAATTGTCAGATTTGGAGTCTAGCGCAAGTGTGGTCCTTTCTTTTAATAACAGTTGTTCTTTCTTCCGATTGGTATCGGTCGTGTCATATGTCTCTGCTTGTGGACTCTCATCCTGTCAACAAAACAAAAACAATCAATCAGTACTATACATATACTTTTGTTTCCAAGAGAGATATGAATGATATACATGTAGCTTTCACAGGGCAACCAAAAGTTCATTTTTAGTCTTGTGGGTTAATTACACAAAATTATAAACCTGTAACGGTAAATCTCTTTGATTTTTGGAGTATATTCTATGCACAGAATAACTTGCGGTCTGAAAGTCAGGAAATTTGGGGTTATTCTTCTGAAAGTTTTTCTTTAAACCTGTAACAGGTTTTTCTTCCAGGGTAGGGGTTTTTTTCCATAAGAAAACATCCTACACGTAATTTTTAAATTGATCAATCCTGTATGGTCATTTCAAGTTAATATTGGTACAAGTATCTGCTGATTCTGCTGATTTTACACTCCCATCGTTATCTGTCTTAGATAAAAAATATAAAGTAGTATTAAGGCAGCCCATTCTTCAAAAAGTGTCTACAATAAAAAAAGATCACTTTTTTCATTTGTGAGATATATGAACCATATTTTTTCTTTTATTTGTGCCTTTAAGCAACCGGGTTGTAGTAACACCGGGACAAAATATGCGTGCCTAGTTATTCGAGTGGGTTAACATAGAGAGAGAGAGAGAGAGAGAGAGAGAGCGAGCAATGGGCAATGGGGTTTAACGTCCACTCTCGACACAAACTAGGTTATTTCGGGACTGAAATAAATGTATGATTCAATTTTATTTCAATGCTTCGCTTGCACGTAGGGGTCTTAGCAGTGGGAGGAATCCAGAGTAAACCCACGAGGTTATTAGGTATTAGGTTATTAGGTTAAAACCATTCGCACCCCCCACCCCTCCGAATGGGTTAAGAGCCCAAGGTCCAGATATGGCTTGCGTATAACAGCACCCTTTACAGATGGAAATCGAAGAAGAAGAAGAAGAATAGAAAATGTCACAATTCTGGAAAAATTCTCCTCCCTCAAATAACACTCGTAACCATAGAAATAAAAAAAATGCTAGTCTCAAAATGATCAAAACGTTCTGTTGACGAGGTGTTAAACTCCACCCCACTCCATTTATTAACACCATGAAATGTATTTTTTCCATTGTTAAAAACAATTCTTGTAGTGAATAATGAACAAAATCTTTTTAAAAATCCGCACCATTACCTTATATTTTACCGAAAACTGTTCAGCATTATCATCGCTTTTTCTTGTTAACCAGTTTTGAACATCAACAGACTTTCTACTTAATATATCATTGTCCATTGCATCAAGTTTATTAGATAGTTCTGTTATTTTCTGTAATATCACCATACTCGTCTCCCTAATCAAGATAATAATCTATAAGCAAAAAAATCACAGAGGAGACTCTAAATCTAAACTGAGAGACAGAGAGAAATGGGGTTTAACGTCCACTCGACACAAACTAGGTCATTTCAGGACCAACATATGGTTTAATTTTATTTCAATAATTAGCTTGCGCGTAGGGGTCTTTAGCAGTGGGGGGAAACCCGAGGACCCGGAAAAAACCCACGAGGTTGGACAGGCGAAAAATCTAAAGGTAGGTAGGTAGGTTTCTGGGGTTTTACGTCCACTTCCAAGTAAGGTGATATCGTAGAAAAAAAAAAAAAAAAATCTAAACGGACACAAGTCGATTTATACATGATTGCTTCATAATGGAAACAAATATATTGAATGATTAATTTGTCAAAGAAGACGGCTAATTAATGATGAATGTAAATATCTGCGTTGGTCTCAAATGAACCTTAGGAGTTCACGCGTAACGAACAAATTATTTTAGTACTTTTGTATTAAAACCACTTGGCTGCTGCTAGTGGCCCAAGGTTATCTGCTACCAGTAGCCTTAGGCGTGAGGTGTTGTATTGGTATACATGTAGCTACTTATAATCGTTTCTAAATATAATTCATTCGAAGACCAAAAGTTGTTGTGTGAGACTGTGAGAGGATATCTGACAATTCATAAAAAGAATTGACTGTCACTAGAGAAGTGAACACGCAAGAAAAACAGAAAAAGTCCGTACATTACCATGTTTTTATAAGGTATAGAATGAATATAAACAAGGGAATGTACGGACTATTTCTATTTTTCTCGTGTTCTCTTATCTAATGACATTCAATTACTTTATTGAATTGTCAGGTATCCTCTTACAGTCCCATATAATAACTTTTGGTCTCCGAAGGAATTATTAGTGAGCAGAAATTCGCCCGTATATCCGTTATCATTCGTCACATCAATCAGTTATTTAGAGAGGCGACTCGTGTTTTCCTTTGGCGTTCGTCACTTCCGATTCAGAAAAACTGTATTACTCAGCTATCGTAGCAATGATCTCTGAGATAAAATTATATTTGGAATGTGTTTAACCAGCTCTATCACATATGTGATAATGACTGGCACCAATATTGTCCTTTAAAGATAATTTTGAAATGCTGTTATTGGGACATTGACAGCTCAGATAACAAATTTTGTCTCCATTGCAAATTGTTTTGTTAAGCAGCGCCTGCCGGACAAGATACGCCCACATTTTGCAAGAGATGGATAGAGAACAAGCTAAAAATAAAAACGATTTTTTGTACAATCAGGGGCCATAATCCAGAAAGTTATGGTGTGAAATGCGCAAATATCAAAAGGGGCTGGGATTTTTGGAATATATAGATGTGTTTCAAGTTTCATCAAAATCGGATAAAAATTGTGACCTCTAGAGGGCCCATAACTTTTGTATTACATACTTATACACAATTTGCATACAAAGAGCGGCCATTTTGTCGAGCAGTTTCATTTCGATATTCCCGACATTCGAATTCAACCTCCATTATGGTAGAATGGTGTTATATCTAAACGGTTTTTAAAATCGGAAAAAAATTGTGACCTCTAGACAATCCACAAGCTAAAAATACGATTTTTCGACAAATCAGGGTCCATAATCAAGGAAGTTACATTCGGATATGTGTGATTATCAAAAGGAACCAAGATCTTTATGATAAAAACATATATTTAAAGCTTCATCAAAATCGTATCTAAATTGTGACCTCTGGGAGGTCAACAACCTTGATATACCATATTTTTGCAACCATCATTAGTGTACAACTGTGATATATACTAAGTAGCAAAAGAAAAGTCATTTTGGTATGTTACTCTGAATAGACGCATTGCATACAACTTGCCAAATGTTTTTATTGTATATTTGTGACCACATCTCCAACTTTACCTGAGCAATAAGGCTCCTTCCCATACACAGAATTGAACCCAGGAAATGTTCTCAAAAACGCAACCTGACTTCTGAGATGGTAATGTGTTCTCCATGATTTTCATGTAACGTATGCTGCACGTGCTGTTCACGGGGACCAGCCCTATAAAATGCACCCCCATACCTGGTTGAATCATTCACACTACAACGTCAGCAGCATGCCACGACTCACGACGGCTCGGGGAAACCAGGCGCTTGGAAGACTCGACGCTGGCCACACTGCCCAAGCCGTTGCCAATTACTTCCAGATCAATGTTCGGACCATCTACAGGCTTCAGCAACGCTTTCGGGCCACCAACACCACGGGTGATCGCCCCCGAACCGGTACAACAACACCAGAACAGATGAGAGTTAGTAGTGCGTATCAACTGCAGATGGCAGGACCAGAATATGGCGTTGATGAGACCAGCGTTATTCTGACCAATATGTTATGAAACGAGACTCATGGGGAGGTCCAAGCATAATGGTTTGGGGTGAAATCGGCCTGAACCAGAGAGTGGATCCTGTGGTGTTCCAAAATCTTGGTCCGGGAAGAGGAGGCGGCATCACAGCAATGCGCTACATCGATCAAGCTCTCAGACCCCACGTGATACCACATTTCCCACGTCATCGAAACAACGTTTTCCAGCATGACAACACCCGTGCCCACACCGCCAGAGTTACTCGGGATTTTCTACAGCAGAACGGTTCAACCTTAGGCACTGGCCAGCCCTTAGTCCGGACTTAAACCTGATTGAACATCTTTGGGGTGAAATTCAGAGGAGACTTAATAACGTCGAACCGAGACCAAACACAGTCGATGGATTGCGCCAGGCTTTTCTGAGAGTGTGTTTACAGGTGCCAATGGCTTTCATCAATCGTCGGGTCCACTCCATGTACAGACGCTGCGCTGCTGTTATTGACACTCGCGTTGGACACACCAAATACTGATGTATAGACTGTATACAGACTCTAAACCTTCTCGTAATGTCTCAATGAATTAATCACTAATGTGTCAACATACTGTTCACAAAAAATTGCTTTGATCCATTTAGTAAGTCGTTTTCTA